TCTGTAAAAAACTGAAGAAGGTTTGCGGCCGGGGAGCGGCCGGTGGTGTGGGCTCGGACGCCGCCGCCCTGCCTACCCCGGGGCGGGGAAGCCCTGGCGGAACCGCAGACCCCGATCCTCAACCGCGTCGTGCCTGGGCGTGTGTCTCTGCTAGTGAGTGTGTCACTCTGTTTGAATCTGTTTCTGTATTTGAGTATATCTTTGTGTTTGAATGTCTTCGTATTTGAATATGTTTGAAAGTGTCTGTATTTGCATATGTGAGCGGTTTGAGTCTGCCTCTGTATTTGAATGTGCCTCTGCTCACGGGTGTTTCTTTGGTCTCTCAGCGAGTGTCGTTGTGAACCAGCGAGTGTGTGCCCCCCAGAGTGCAGGTGTCCGGGGTGTGTTCCGTGTGCAGGACTATATGCTGTGTTCTTCTGAGCGGCTGGGAGGAGAAGGCTGTCAGCGGTCCCCATTCCCACCTACTTCGTATTTCACAGATACTACCAAAAAACAAAAACAAAACAGCGCTTAGTTTCTTTTCCTCCCCTGCAGACTTTTACCTTTTAGTTTGAAATAACCCAAACTCCATCTAGATCTCAAGGTTTCCCCACCTACCCTGCCATGAACTACACATACATTTTTTTTAATAGGAAGTGTTGTTTAGCTTTGCACCCCTCACTTTTCTCTAATTGCCATGTAGCAGGCATGAGGTTAAAGGATAAGCCAGCCCAGCAAGGATGATGTGCTACAGTATTTATTTATTTTGGAAGGAAGGGTGTAATTAACCCTAAATAACAGCCCTCTCAGCCCGAGAGGGGAGCCTCCTGGTCCTATCAAAGGCGGGCAGAGCAGGGAGGGACTGAGGCTGACGTGAAGTCACAGATACTGAAACTATGTGCCTGATAATGATATAATTAGGGGATCAGAGATTTCTGACTGCTGCTGACTTCAAAAGCTTTAAAAGAAGCCAGCAGCCTCTCCTGTAGCCATCTTGACTAAAGCAGACATTTTTGTTTAATCACTACATACAGTAACAAGAGAGGGGGGGAAACAGAAGAGCATTGTTCACCGTTTCAAAAGACCAGTCCCCTTTCTGGCCTTTTGTATGCCACACGAAGAAACTTTATGAAACAACAGAAATATAGTTTTAATACAGTAATACAAAAGTTAATTCAACTTGCTCAAATGTGGCTCCAATTTTATAAAAAAAGTCGTTAGAACTTTTCTAGTTACCTGTCAAAATTTTATTAGACTGTTTCAGGTCATTGAGAATACAGTATGTTAAATAGGCTCTTATAAACATTTAAGCAGCGTTTCACTTGCATTCAGTTTTTTTTCCCCCCTGCATGACGTCTGAGGTGAATAGGATCAAAAGTGACTTAATCTGTTTTATTTCAACCTTAAATCTCTATATGGAATTTGTCAGACTAGGGACATATAGTTATCAACCACATCATACCAGTGAGCTTTCTGCAAAAAATCAAGCTGGAAAGAGGAGCAAACCTCTGTAAAGCAAGCTCCTATCTTGAAGGTCTTCCTGGAGAAGGGTCTTGGGCCCAGACAAAGGACAGGGAGTGCAGATACAGAAATTTAGAATAGCAGCAACACCTCCAGCTTTGGACCGTTAAACCCAGCTTGCTGAAGATCTACATATAGTTGGCTAGTCTTTTTAGAACTGAAGCATTAGCAGCCTCTGGTGAAAACTGAGCATGCCATATGGTGGCCTGGAATTTGGACAGATAATTAAATGAGACACCTGACTCAGACATTCACAGAGAGAAGTAAAGGTGAGGGTAGGAAGAGGGGTTTGGTTTCAGAGTGGTGGTTTCAGTAAGTAGACAGAACTTCAGATTGGGAAGCTGGAGAGAGGCGTGTGCATTCGTTTAATTTACAGCAGCGTTAGCTGTGGCATGTGACAATGACTGGAGTCCACTGGGTTGGAAATCATATTAGTGATAACTCTGAGACCCAGCTTATTTCAACTAGAAATTGATATTAAAAGCCTCAGATCTTACATTGCAGCAAAATGTTAACAGTGACTCACAAAATAAGTTTTATAAAGGAAACTTTAATCACTTCCTGTAGAAAAATTTGAGGTTTCCTTAAGGATTTGTCATTGAACCAGCAGAGAGGATTTTCAGATTCAGTGTTTCCCCTTTTAGATCCCATGTTGAATTACATGTAAAACTGGGGGGTTAGGGGGGGGAGGAGTTAGCCTTGCAGTTTTACATTCTCCCCTCCACCCCCAGATTTATGACTTTCCATTTGGGCTGAAAGAAATTGACTTTGGCAAGCAAACCACTAATTGTAAACTGCCTAGTTCCTGTTTTACAATATACTAAAAGCTCCTCTGCATGAAAAGATCTTTATAGGCAAAGTTTGCCTTTTCTAGAGAGGTTGCAAATAGCTGCCCAGTTTCATAGTTTTAAAACCTCCTGACTGGAGCAGTTTCTAGATTGTTGTGTTTCTAGTTAATAACTTTATAAAGTGTTAGCTAAAGCTCTTAAATCTTGGCACAGCCCCTCGAGGTAGTAAACAATTCAGTAGTTCCGATCAAATATTTATACTGACAAAATAAAAAAGCTTAGCATTTTGGTCATGTAGGATTAAATGAGTAAATGATGTAATTTTACCTTATTGTAGGAGAAATTATTGTGATTATTATTTTCCTTCACAAACAAAAGTATTACTTTTAATTACTCACTTAACGGAAACCTAAATTGAACTTTGATTCTCTGCTACTGGGGTTAATACATTTCTAAAATTGTATTTAACTGGGTTGAAATTAAAGCACAGGCATACACAAAGGGCTTTCCCAGTCTGCATGGTCTACTGTTGTTGTAAGCACTCAGCTGAATATTCTAAAAGAGCCTTTGAGCTTGGGATTTAGCATTCACTTAAGCAGACGCATGATCTGGTCTCTGAAGCAGTTTGATGCAATTTCTCATTGTTTTCAGGTGAAATCAGATGCTACTGTGATGCTGCCCACTGTGTGGCAACTGGCTATATGTGTAAATCTGAGTTGAGTGCCTGCTTCTCTAGGCTTCTTGATCCTCAGAACACAAATTCCCCACTCACCCATGGCTGCCTGGACTCTCTCGCAAGCACAGCAGACATCTGCCAAGCCAAACAGGCACAAAACCACTCTGGCACCGCCATACCCACATTGGAATGCTGTCATGAAGATATGTGCAATTACCGAGGGCTGCATGACGTTCTCTCTTCTCCCAAAGGAGAGGCCTCAGGTAGGTAGTAGCGCTTTCTAACCAAATGCTTGCCTGATCTATATAGATTTGTGACAGCCAAGACTTTGTATGTCTGCTATTGATTTTGTTGTTAATCTAATTAGAGACAGCAGAGGGAGAAGAATGGCTGAATGCAAAAATGCATCTCTCTTGAGTAGCTTTTATGTCTGCTTGAGCATTAGATGTCTGTCTACATAATAGGTTTTGCCTGTTTTTTCAAGTTGGAAGACATTAAAAGACCACTAATACTCTGTAATGAGAGTCTGTAAACAGATGTTTTTGTAATCTTTTGCATTGTTTTTGCAACATTTATTTTCTATATCTTGTTGACTTAATTGTCGGCTATATATTGGGGTGCCTGGCTTAAAATGGATAGATGAGCTTGAATATGTACAGGAGAGAGGTTAACATATGACAACCTTGTGCTCCTTTAGGACAAGGAAACCGGTATCAGCATGATGGTAGCAGAAACCTCATCACCAAAGTGCAGGAGCTGACTTCTTCCAAAGAGCTGTGGTTCCGGGCAGCAGTGATTGCTGTTCCAATTGCTGGAGGGCTGATTTTAGTGTTGCTTATTATGTTGGCCTTGAGGATGCTGCGAAGTGAAAACAAGAGACTGCGGGATCAGCGGCAACAGATGCTCTCCCGTTTGCACTACAGCTTTCATGGACACCATTCCAAAAAGGGGCAGGTTGCAAAGTTGGACTTGGAATGCATGGTGCCGGTGAGTGGGCACGAGAACTGCTGTCTGACCTGTGACAAAATGAGACAAGCAGACTTCAGCAACGACAAGATCCTCTCTCTCGTTCACTGGGGCATGTATAGTGGGCACGGGAAGCTGGAATTCGTATGACCGTGTCTTATCTGAACTGAGCTTCTTGGACCCTTGAAGGCCTTTGAGTTCCGCTGGACAGGAGCACTTTATCTGAAGAAAAACAAACTCATGTAATCAACTTTGAGAGACAAAATGACCTCTGCAAACAGAATCTTGGATGTTTCTTCTGAAGGATTATTTGCACAGACTTACATACAGTCAAATGTATTTTTTGCTTTGAAATTATAAAAAGCAAAGAGAAGACTATGTACACACTGTTACCAAGGTGATTTGCATCTGAGGGAGCTGGAATGAGTACCTAAATAAACTAAAATGTGTTGTATGTAAGCTCTTACATCTTGATTTATTGTAAAGATTTAAAAATATATATCTATATTTTTGTCTGAAATTGAGCAGTGTCTTGTCATAAATTAAAAACTAAGTGGGAAGTGTAAGACACTACATGTTAATTATATAAATGAAAATCTGTTGCTCAGACAAGGGTCTAACTATAGGATTTGGCTTGATCTTCCTTCCTTTGTGTTTTTTTAAAAAAACGAGACCAAAATCTTTCTTATTCTTACATGCATATGTGTAATTCTCCTACAGCATGTAGAATATCTAAATGGGCTGCCCATCATTTAGTGTCTTACTCACATTTTTTGTTTGGATCATTCTGGTTTTTAACTTTTATCTAAGAGAAATCTTAAGCATATTTATACCAGGTCAGATATGATTGATGTGTTACTGAAGTTGCCTTAGCAAGTCTACTATTACTTATCAACTTGATCCACTTGCTCTTTAATACTTTTAAATATGTCTACCTCCAACCAGGAAAAAAAACACCTAAAGTAAACTTTTTTTGGTAAAGTTATTCACTGCCTACTTCTACTGTTTACTCTGTCTCTAACCGAATTAAATATTTTGGACTCCAAGTTAGCCAAACTTTATTGTACCGTGCTCCCAGTTTTCAAAACGTCTTTAAACAAAGTGTTATACTAACATTTTATCTTATTTTTGACTTCTGAAATTTTAGAAAGATTTTCCATAGTGAACACTATATATCAATTGAGATTTAAATAACACACAGTGCTTCTAGTTTTTCTTTCCCAAATGATCCTTTTATTAACATAACCAAACAAAACATTGACTTTAACCACTAACTTAATACACCGGTGTTTCCGCTCCTGTAGGACTTTTTGTCTGGCAACACTGTCCAGCCTGGTTTAAACCCATGTCACATTTGTGTACCTTTCTCCCCAAATGGATCTTTTTAATCTTAAATAAGAATAATTTGCCATGTAGGGTTTTCCCTCAATTCTTTTGTATATTGGAAACTTTTGCTTAATTAACCTATTGCCTACATATTTGAGTATGGGGTTTTCTATTATGAATATTATAGAGTTCTTAAAAAAATCGTCTGGAATATTTTATGATGAGTATAATTTGGGTCCCTGAAGACAGATGCAGTAGCCAAGCTCATTGAAGAATCTGAATGGAAAGGACTAATCTAAAAATGAATAGTTAGATTATTTAATAGCTAATAGACCACAGCCCAAATAAATTAGGCTATGGAATAAATAATGCATCTTAATAAATGACAGACTTGTTTTGTGCTTTTTGAGATTGACAGTTTGTGCATTCATGCCTTAACAATTTATAAGATGTGTTAAGTTTTATGTGTGTCAATTTTTGAGGGAGCCAAAGAATTGTTTAACCTAACTATTGATCAAGATTGCCATTGATAAAATTTCTCCCCTTACCTTCGCTTTCTAACTCTATGTCAAAGTATAGTTTTTCCACTTAGATTAAAAGACGTTCTCATTGTGCCTTCTCGCTTCCATACAAGTTCAATAATTCTTTAATTGGCCAGCCTTTATTTCACTTCTGTAGAGTTATTTCCTTCTGCTTGCCCTGCCATTCTCTATTCATTCCATTTCTCCCAAATACCAGGTAACAAAGAACTCATCAATCCATTAGGAAATAAAGCAATGACGGGTTTAAATTCATGTGCTTAGAAACACTTGGAATTCAATAAATTCCATATTCCAGGAAAGGCCTGTGGCCAGGCTAAAGCTAAAATCACACAACTTTAACGCAAGGTGAGTGCAGTGTCTTCACTTGGTTCTATGTTTCTTCATCTGGATCTTGTTCTTTATACTGTAAATTCATGAGACTGTTTCATTTCCCTTTTCGGTGGGGTGGTGGCACTGTGCCCATGCTCTGTCAGACTGGGTGTTCTGGTGCTCATATTCCAGCCACTTAATAGACTGGCCCTGTCTCTTTTGCTAATAACAATCCTCTTCTTTTAAATCCTGTCATTCATTTAGTATTTGCACATGTCTTAAAGTCAGATCTAGGCATAATTTAGCTTTTCAATGAAAATTTTGCAGGTTTCCCAACATGGATTTTTACTAAGAACTAAGTATAGTTTCTACTTTTGCTTTCCTATGAGAGTGTAGAAGATGCCCAGAATGGAGATAAAAGACCCTTCATGAAATAACTACCTACCTGATTCAGTGATGTAAGAATGGTAATGACTGGTTTATTTGTTTTTCCCTCATAGAGATGTTTACTGTTACTTGAGGTGTCAGTACAAGGCTGGGCTAACCAGGAACAGCCCTTGTTTAATATTGACATAAAACTCCCCCATTTCTAAGTGTAAATTTGTCCAAACCAGAGACAAATGGGACCAAATTTGCTGTGTTTCTGTATCTACACTCCTTACATTCTATCCCTTTAAAAAAAAATTGATCTGAACATGGTTATGTCTTTTATGTTACTCCCTCGCCCCTTATTTTGAATGGCTCAGAGGCTTTCTAGAAATTGACTAATGTGTCTCTAATTTCTGCTGAACTGATTTTATTAAAAACACCACACCATAGGGGGTTTGACCTTCTAAAATACCAAATGTGTCTGCTTTAGAAAATCACAAAACTCGCCTCTGAAGAGCTCATAAATCTGGTTTCAATGTGAGTTGATTATAGGCTACAAGCTTGAAAGCAGTGGCATCTAGTATCATGAATCTGAAACTAGCCTTTTGGGGGCCAAGACAGCTTTTTTCCCTTACAACCTCTGTCTCAGTTCAAATAACTAAACTTCTAAAAGTTGCCTGGTGTGATGAGGCTGAGCTCACAGGATAGCAGTCAAGCTCACTTTGGAGTCTCACAGACTCGGTTCAAAGGCTGTCTTTGTCCCTAATAGCTGTGTGAACTTGGGCAAATGACTAGAGCGCTTAGAATACTAAGTTTTGTTACCTATAAAATGGGACCAATGGTAATACTTTATTATGAGATTATTATGAGGAAATAGTGGCCCAACTTCCCTCAAAATTTGAAAACTTGTGCCTATTATTTACTTTTTCATATTTCAGATCTTTGCATATTTGAGATTTGAAATCCCTTTAGTCACCTGCAGGCTGGATTTAGTATTTTTAATATTTGCTTTAAATTTATTGTTTTTAGTCTCATATCTACTAATTATGTTGGTTTGTAATTTACTTTTGGAATAATCTAGGTGGCTACTAATAACATTTTAATTTGCTATAGGTATTTTGTTTTTTGATGTTTGGCAGAACGAAGTTCTTTTAGAGTTTCAGCTGTTCTGGATGGTTAACCCATTGAGAAAACCAAGAGTAAAGTTAAGTGACAGATAATGTTTCAGAATTGCTTGAATAGTTTGTGTCTGATTGATGTATTCTGGACAAGTGGTACCATCAATTACAATTTGCCCCACAGGTGTTACCAATAAAATACAAATAGTTCCAAAACTAGTTTTAGGGACTTTATAAATTTGGGGGTGGGGCAGGGGGCTACTTAGTGAAAAATCCATTTAATTTCCCTGGATGAAGTTAATTTAGTTTCTTTGTCACAGTTGTAATGGAAAAAAATAACTGCTCCAGAGACCAACTCATTCCCTTCCCCTGTACCCAATTCATTCTGTTAAAGTCTTCCTCACTCTGTTGACTTAAAAGGCAGATTGGTGATCTGAGAATTTGAGACTCAAAGAAATAATGAAATTAAATGTTCTTTCAAATTTCTACAACTCTTTATTTGGGGTACAGGTTTAGACTTTATACATGTCCTTTTTAATTTGCTAACACAGCACCATTCTGCAGCTTAGTGATGTAATTCACTTGTCTGCCATTCCAGAAATTGGGAGATGGAAGTGGGAAGGTGATAAGCTGAGGTTAACCAGGGGTTTAATTCTTGCAGCAAGACAGCAATTTTCCAATGGATCTGCTTTGGGGAGTTTTGAAGTATTTATTACTAGAGGAGGCCTAATAGCCACATTTCTGCAAACTTTCCCCATTCTATGAATATGAAAAGCATAACCAGAAAGGCGTTGACCTCCATCTTGGGAGATACTTTGGGTGAGCAGTTAGATAATATCTCAAGGTATTTGTCATTCCTCCAGGTGTAAGGGATTCATTCTATCAGGAGGCCAGTGGCCAGATGGCCTCTCAGGGGCTATTTCACATTGTGTTTGGCTACCGTTATGGATTAGATTGATGTTGGACTAAATCTGAGTAGAACCCTAGAAAGATGAGTTGGTAATTATTTATTGCATCCCATGTGTACACAGTTATGCCATGCTAGTCCAATAGTCTTTGTAATTCTGGAATAATTTTGCACTTAACAATTTTCTGTGTTAATATAAGTAGATGATGGAAATTATGAGCAGTCAGCAATTTGTTTTTAGATATGAAGACTACATTAGTTGTGATGAATTAATAAAGTCAGAGGCTGTTGTGTAAATTTACCCTGAAAGATCTCAAATTACAAACCTAATGGAACAAAAATTGTTTTAGCAGTTAAAACCAAGAGAAATACAGAAAGCTCTTTATCCTTCAACTCTTCCTCTTGGAATTTCCCCCAGGGAACTGATGAGAACAGTGGAAAAACACCACACTTGTAAAAGCAGTTGCTTACTTTTCAAGTGTTGGAATTCCAATTTGAAGAATTTTTTACTAAATTTAATGGATGTGATTTTGATACCATAGACTTCACAGTTGAGTTGGTAAATGGGGTATTTCTCATCTGGATTTAGGGATTACTCCCAGTCAGGCGTGGGGTGGGGATGGTCAGGAGGTGGTGGGGGGTCCAGGATCAGTAACCTCTGAATGTTTCCACAATCCAAGCAAAGGAGAGCATGAGATGAAGGACAGATTAAGGCCTCTTGTCATCAAACCTCTGAATTCAGATTGTCAATAAATACACAAATGCTTCTTTCTCATTTGTTTCTCTATCCTAAACTATTGTTTTACAGATTTTTATATATATTTTTCTTTGCGAGGCCTAAAGGAAAACAAATTGCTAGTGAAGGGAGTTGAGGAGAAATAATTCAAATGGA